ATTCTAACCTTAATTGTAATTTTTTAATTTAAACACACACAAATTTTAAACAATAGTGTATGGTTCGATTGATTAAGAAAGTTGAATCATCTTATTTTAAAATTTTAAGTTTGAGTTTTAAAATATACAACCACACTAAATAAATATATCAAAGGTATTTTCAAGATATCCATGAGACTACTATTGTGTGAAACACGTCACATACAGTGGAGTTTCAGATTAATAATGGTAGAAACTAGGAAGTGATAATTACCCTAGTCCCCAGGTTTCTCATAAATTTCGAGTGATAAAATCAAAAGTTTAAAACTTCATGGTTGGAATTAAAAATACACATAGAATCAAACTAATGGAAAAATTATGGCATGTTTGATTTATATTTTTAAAAAAACTTATTTAGGTAAGTGATTGGGATTTGAATGTTTTCAAATTATTCTTATTTTATTTCTTTTAAAAAATATTTTAGATATAAAAAAATAAAAATATTGTAGATCTGTTTTTGTTTTTAAAGCACATTATATTTTATTATTATAAATTATTTTTAATTATGGCCATTCTGCAATATTGACATCTATCACTAGAGGCCCAATTTGTTAACTCTAAAGTTGTTTTCAATTAACCTAATCAAACTTTTTTTTTTTTGAAAAATAATTTGTTAAAAAAATTTATTTACAAAGTAGTCTTCAAAAAAAAAAAGAGGAACAAAACTGAACAAGCTCTTAATCATTTCATTCTTATAATTTTAACTTATAACTATATACCTAATTCGATGCAACTTATTTCTTATGGTTTTGGTCTAGTTGAAATCCATCCTTAACATTTTTTGAAAATTAAAACAATCGTTGCTAAGTTTCAAAAAATAACTCTATTTTCTAAAATGTATATATTAATATTTTAAACAGTTAAACCAAATGAATGCACCCAAATAAGCATTAAACAAAATGAGCTTTAACTAAGTCAAAATTAGAAATGTCAAATGACTAATTTTTCCTAATATAATTACTTAGATTAATGGGGACTTGAATTTGAACCAATCCCTTAGTTAGATACATAAAAATCTATAATTTAGATTTGATGTAAATCCAAATCTATTTTTTTATTGCCCATAGCCATCCTTTTATTTGAAACAATCATATTGAAAGCATGATTGAGAAATAAATATGAACAATATGTTTAATTATATTTCTTTAAATTTTTAAATTTTATATATACTTTAATTATTTAAAATTTCAGCTATTCCAATCTTCACGTTTCTAAGGAGATAATGATTCTCATTCATTTTCTTTTACGCTATTATTTCCTTCAAATTGAAAATTTGAAGAAAAAAAAAAATCAGTACTAAAGTTAGAGGAGATGATAACCACCTTGCAAAAAAAAAATGCTAAGTTAGGATCTCTTCACAATTAAAGTTTCAAATTCTCTAAAAAAAAAAATCTCAAATTCAATACTCCTTTCAAGTTTAGTACTAAAATCTTAAAAAAAAAATCTTAATTTGGCTTTAATTTTCTTATGAAACTCTTAATTTGGCATTAACCCTCTTAGGAGATCCTTATTTGTCATTCCCCCAAAATTTTTATCGCTATATTTTTTATTTTCCTTTAAAATTAAAAATTATTTTTTTAAAAAAATAGATTTCTTATATTTTCAAAAAAAAATATTTTTATTTATTGACTGATACATGTTTCCACTCACTTTCAAGTATTTTCATTTTGGATTATAAATTAGCTTGTAATTTTTAAAATTTATTTCAAAATATTTTATGATTTGAAAAAACTAATATTTAAAACATTAAAAAAATGATAAGATTCACACACACACACACACAATATGTATGCACGTATCCTACATTTTTCTTTGGTAAATACTAAAAACAAAGTTAGTTACATATCGCAAGTCTCAAGAAAAGCAAAATGGGAGACGAAAGGAAAAGGTTCATGAGAAACAAAAAATATGTACACATATATTCCTCAATGATTTTAAAATAGGAAAAGTCACAATAAAATTCTTTTGAATTATCTAAATGATATATTGATCTCACAAAATGGTATAATTTTTTCAAAGTTCCAATGGATATTTATGTCATTAGGAAATTATAAGAAATGACACGTTTGCCTTTTATTCAAATTAAAAAATGCGCAACTTTTCATTCACAATTTTTGTTCATATATTAATAATTTTGTTTCTAAATTTACAACAATTTAATAGCTATTCACAAGTCATAATCTACGAGTCTTGATATGCATTAAGTGTTGAAAATTTATAATTTTTTTCATTTATAACTTTTGTTCTTATATTAATAATTTTATTTTTAAATTTACAACAATTCAATAGCCATTCGCAACTTCACATTTGCAGGTTTTGATATAAATTAGGTGTTAAAAATTCGTAACTTTCTATTCACAACTTTTGGTCATGTATTATCAACTTTTGTTTCTAAATTCACAACAATTCAATAGTCATTTGCAAACTCTAAATATATAGGTTTTGATATGTATCAGATGTTGAAAATTCATAATTTTTTATTCGCAACTTTTGTTCCTAAATTAACAACTTTTGTCCCTAAATTTACAGTAATGTAATAAGGAAATGTAATTTATTAGTACCCTCTGTAAATTGACTAAATCAGCAAAATGAATTACCACTCTAATACAAGAAATAACAACTTTCATTAATTTAAATGATAAGAAAACTTTAAAAAGTGACAACTATTTGATGTTTTGTTATCAGTTACATGATCTACAACTTGCATCAAAATACGCTACAATCTTTTTGACAAAAATATGAAAGATTGAATCTTCTAGTATCATCCCAACATATCAACCATACTCATGCCAACCTGAAATAATAAAATAGCCATTCATTAACATGTTTATTTTCTAAACATTATAATCATAGATCTAATATGTTTAATCTAACAACAATTATTCTTCTTCTATTTATAACTTTGTATTTATTATTTACAACTTTAATTTATGCATTTACAACACAACTAAAAATAATATATCATTTATCATTTATCCATGAATAAATATCCATACCTACATACAACAGAGAAAATCAAAAAAATGAAGACTTCAATTATGAAGAGAAAATGAAAACTTCAATCATTTATGTATATTAACCCACATCAACTTCAACTATCAAATATGAAAGGAGAAATTTTTAAGGAAAAGAAGAAACTCACCCATATACTGCAAAGCTAATAAAGGAACCCATGCACGGAAACTCAAAAGAAATCAGACAGACGAGAAAGAGAAGGAGAAAGAGAAAGAAACGGACCAAAAGAAGAGAAGAGGAGGAGAACAAGAAGACAAAGCAAATGGAAGAATGCACAAGAATGGTTCTACATTTAGGTTTCAAATTTTTGTTTTATTTCAGGGCAATTTGTCATTTTTTTTTTTATTTTCTAACAGAAAAATTCTTTGGAACTTCAGAGATATTATGTTATTTGGTGAGACTAATCTATCATTTATATAATTTAAATAGATTTTTCTGTCATTTTCCTTTTAAAATAAGCTCAATATCTAAAATCAGTGGCAAAGAGGAACAGTTCCATTGTTAAAGACATGGAGCTTATTATTGTAACAAGTAAGAGATGGACTGATTTAGATCATCTGCTAAATCTTTTCAAAAGTCATTGGGTGGAAGGATTCACAAGCAATTGAAAGCGATGGTGGAGAAGTTTAGATAATTGTAATGCTTTATCTGCTGATTTTCATTTTTCTGTATGACTTTTATTTGCAATTGTTATCATTAATAAAAAAAATTGAGAGATAGACTATAACTGGAGAAGTCTATTGTTAGAAGCATTTTTTATCCATAAAAGCAAAGCTCTAATACAAAATAGAAGGAGCAGTTTGTGTTTCGTACTTGAGAACTGTTTTTAGTGAAAACTTGTGAAAACATCAGAATTGAATGAAATAAGTACAAGATAGTGAAGACAGCCTCATACTTGAACTGTCTCATCCTAATATTCCAATTCCTCTGCATCACCATAAATGGTCGTGTTGAGAAAAGAGTTGGCAGAATCGCTGTGAAGCTGAACTTATGCCCAAACACAAAAAAAGAATTATGATCTGTCCACTTACACACTTCAACCCACAAAAAAAAAAAGAAAAAAAACAAAAACCAAAAAAGACTTTGTTGATGAAATTCCAAAATATATTGGCCAGCCTCAGAAATTTTACTATTATGGAAAGCCAAATTCCTTTTTTGCCAAATCAAATTCAAGGAATATGATGCTTTTCAACTGGATATCAAGATTCAAGACCGTCACTGTGAAGCTTACAAAAAGTAGACAAACCAATTCACTATTCCAACATCTGCAATTTCGCTAGAATGTATTAACAGTGCCCCCAAGCCAAACACTTCTCACACAGTTACAGCTTCCAAAAGAGTTGTTTCCATACCTGAGCATCCAAAAACACATTTTGTGCATGCGTCAAGGTGATGCTTCTGAAAGATGTCACCAATAGGAATAGCCGAATGAACAAATTTCCAAATAAATAAATGCTGTTTGTTTGTAAGGCTAAGGCATCCTATACATATCATATCCTATATTTTGAAAAGTAAAAATATTATTTTATTGGATACATATCGTATCCTATTCATGTATCATATCTATGCCTAAATCCTTTCATCAACCTCCACATTTGAGTTATCTAGGTTGAGGTTGATCAAAGGAACAAAAACTTTAGGCCATTTTAGCTGGCATATGCCATCTTCAACTTCAAACTGTCAAATACTCTAAGCACTTAGATACATTTTTACTTAAATCCCTGTCTACTTTCTATAAATGACAGCTGACAATTCTTAAATCGAACTCTATTTAAGGCCTGGGTTATTGTTTGCTTGAAAAGATAAAAAAATAACATGAAATGAAATACGAAAAGAATGTATTAACAGGACTGAGGTTGAACCTGCAAATTTAATAACATTGTTCATAAGAGCAGAGGTGACAGTGGTGTGAAGTTATTAAAACCATACCAAACAAAACAATAATATGACTTCAATCAGAGATAGGGCTGCTCATTATCCAAAAAAAGTTACCAAAAGGGGAAACACGTTCAAAATTACTAGAACCTAAAGTAGAACTGGCAATATACTTTAATAAACCAGAGCCAACTGAGCTTGTCTTGCTCGATATCTAAACCAAGTATGGATATAAAAGAAATATTAAACAAGCGTCAAAACTTAGCTCGGATTTGAAAGCAACAAAATTAAAATACAAATTATGATTTCAACTCTCAGTCTGCTCTCTCAACCTCCTTATGGTGCTACGGACTGTCACTGCACTGGCAGTACTGTAAAAAAACAAACACGAAGCAGGTCAGAGCCCTGACAATGTAATTTCAAGAATAAAATTGAATGGAATAGAAGAAAATGTTAAAGACTCTTACTTCAATGTGTAAGCACCTCCAGCTTTCACTTTTCCACAATCTTTGCAGCCCCATATACCCACAGCCTTCCTCTTAACAGCATACTGTATAAGGAAGAGTCAATAGAGTTCTCTTGACAACATATAGCTAGTCATCATAGCTGATAAACGAAAGTGATGAAAAAAAAAGGAAGAAAAATACCTTCCCACAGAACTCACAGAAGTATTTGCTGTGCTGACTCACTTCCATCTTCTTAATTTGCTTCCTAAGACTAGCACCATATCGGGTGCCTGAAATTTAGGAGTAAAAGGAATAAAACCTCACAGATAAAGAAGTTACATGACAACATAAATGTGCTGAGCAAAGAAAGATCAGGCCAAGGAAATAAAAATAGCAGACTACAGCGAGCATGCATGTCAAATTGCAATGCGAATTATCAACCAAGAGTGGTCATGTCATACAACATCAAATAACAATGCAAAACACAGCCCAAATAATACGCAACAAAAATGCAACTTTGCATGCATCAGAAAAATGCAACGAAAAACGGCATTGCAAGCAAGATATAGTTGAAAAATCAGGAAAGGAGAAGAGTTCAATGTAATTGAATCCAATTAGAATAAATGAAGGGAAACTCTGTAAAAAGCCTATAACTAGCAGGCGGGTTGCATGAGGTCATGATCTCCTCAATGTTGAATCTAGCCGCAAAATTGCAATCAATGATGAAGATGGAATCACAGAATCATGTAATTCTGTCATTTTGGCATTATTTATTTTTCAAATAGGAATTGGCCATCACTATTAAAATAATGGTGATGTTTCAATCAATTCATAACACTAATTGAATCATTACAACACCACCGGCCACAAGCAATCTAAATTGAATGATTCCTATCTGATCTGATAGATCAAGATTTCAGCACAATGTGCAAAAATAAAATTTAATAGTAAAATTGAATAAATCATGCAAAACCAGAATCGATGAATAAAAGGTAAACCATGTATGATCTGACAGATGAAGCTTTCAGCACAAATTCAAGGACATAAGATTTTGCACTGAATAATCAATGGTAAAAAAAAAAAATCAGATTCGATGAATAAATCATGCAAAACCAGCTTTGATGTGGGATGTATCCAATCAACAACTTATTTACAATTCAATGCCTGTCATTCCAAATACATGCATCTTATTTCAAGATCACTTTCATACAATCATAATCTAACCAGAGTACTTTCCATTGTTTCAAAATAATAATAGATGAGAGAAAGAAGAACAAGATGTCCCCATTAAACTTTAAATCAACAATGGCTAGAATACTGGAGCATGCTACATTGACCATGAAGTTTAGATAATCGAATTTTCTTAACCTTTCTAATTAAAAAATTAAGCCTCTCCACAAAATTCATAACTACTGAAATAAGAGGAACGTTAACATACCATATTTCCCAACAATACCGGCCTTCTTGGTTCTCTTGGTCTACAATAGGTGAGAAAACAAATGAGCAGAAGCGCAAAAGAATGTCATACAGAGAGATAATAGAAAATAACAATGTCTCTTAAAAAAAGGGGAAAATAGCAGGATAATAGAATTAACACGTGTTCACATATTGGATGTGAATATTTGGAGGGAAAAAGCAACCTAACTCAACTAAAAGAAAATGTTTTGAATCTGGCACACTATCTTCAGTTTCACAGGTTTGTTCAGCCTGTGATACAGATTCCCCCCTCCCCATTCCCACACCTATTTATGCAATGGGCAGAGTATCCTTGCTACATGCATCTATCACACATTAAAACGAAGACAATCCAGAAAGAACAAAAACTAATGCAGAAACATATTTTACCCCCAATGGATTGTCTGGACTAAAATCAAGCTAATCCCAAGATGTAAAATAACATAATAATAGCTTCAAATCCACCGTAAAGCTTGCAAAAAATGTTTGCGTTGTTTCTCAAAATTATCTTCCTACAAATACTGAAGAGACAAAGCTGCAGGTTAATGTCACACAAAACATCTAAGCAGAAACAACGTCAGATTTTAGCTACCACCTACTTGTTAGGATCAACAATCTCCAAGACATTAATCTCCAGGAAAACTAATTTAAACATACGGAATTGCTCAGTCATGATTCGAATATTCCAGCACTTACAAAGACAAACACAGAATGAGGGAGAGATGGAATACCATTTTTGTCGGCTTCCGATGAAGATGAGAGGCAGAGGAAGAACCCTAGGAAGGAGCCGTTCGAGAGAGCCTGTTGCTGCCGTTGAAGGCTTGAGTTGGAGAAAGCTTATTTATGAGTCTAAAACCCTAGACACCACTATCCGGACTGGATCTCTTATAAACGGTGTCGTTTGGGTCACGGAAAAACCAACTAAAGTAAAGACCCATGAGGCCCACGAATTTCTCATTTAAAATACAGGAAACGAAGCCCCAATTGTTGGCCCAAACACCACTATTTATTATGCATGAGTGATGAAAATGTTATATCTCTACCCAAAAAATAAAAGTTCTTTTTTCCTATATTTAGATAAGAGTTTAAATATCTTCTTGTTTAACTTTTGGAAAATGAAATTAAAATCTTTTTAAATTATCTAAATGATATTTTAATCCCTCAAAATATTATAATTCTCCAGAAGTTCCTAAAAACTTTTTTATCATTAAGAAATTAATATAAAAAATTGAATTACACTTAATTGAAACAAAAGTCCCAAGCCTCAAAATAGATACGTGTGAGCTTACGAATTGCTATTGAATTCTTGCAAATTTAAGAAAAAAATTGTGAATTTTAAAATAAACTTGTGAATGGCAATTAATATTTGTAACATTTGAAGAGTATCAGAATTCGAAATGCAAACTTGTGAATTAATATTGAATTCTTATAAATTTCAAAAAAAAATTGTAAATCTTAGAATAAATTTGTAAATGAAAATTGATATTTGTAATACTTGAAATGTATCAGGATTTTAAATGTAAATTTATAAATTACTGTTAAATTCTTGCAATTTTAAGAAGAAAAGTTATGAATTTTAAAATAAAACTTGTGAATTATGAGTTCAAAGTATCTGTTCTAAGGCTTGAAATTTTTATTTCAGTCAAAGACAATTTGATCTTATATATTAATTCTTTAATGATAGAAAAATGTCTAGAAACTTTAGAAGAATTATGACATTTTGAGGAATCAAAATATTATTTACATAAAATTCCTTTGAATTTTATTATCATTTTTCTTTAATTTTCCTAAAAAAATATGTTAAAGATTATATTTAAATAAAATTAGCACATTGAAAATGTAAGTAGATTCATAACCAAATTTTGGAACATTTATTTTCTTTTTGATCAAATCCTACCCGTTGATTCTTTTGTAGCATTTAGATTGTGAAAAGATATTGACAAGCTACATTGTCCTACTAGGAGCTTGTTGAATTTATAATATAAAACAAATATGTAAAGGTACAATTAAAAAAATCATGTATCAGAAATATTTGCCTGCTTAAATTATCAATATATATATATATATATATAAGTAAGATTTAGCACCTTTTTTTTGTAATGAAAATAACATATTTTTTAGCATACATTTTACATTCTAATAAGTATTTCAAAGATTTAAATTTAGATGAATACACACACACACACATATAAACTAATGTTTTGTCAAGATTAAATATGATTTGAGTCTATTATTAAAAAATATTATTAAAGTCTAGGTAAGGTCGCATATGAATTTCAAATATTTAAAATGAGATGAGGATATATATAAAAATCTAGATTTTGTTATAAAGGAATTAAAGTATTCGTGCAAACTCTGAAATAAAAAATTGTAATTATTAATTAAATGATGTTATTTATATTTTCTAATTAAATAATGGTATTTTTAATTTGATGAATATGTGATTTACCAATATAAATTAAAAAAGAATAAAATCAATATTTAGCATATATTTATAATCATAATAACTAAGATTAAATTCTTTAGATACTGTACCGTACTTTTCCGTGGACTAAATCAATATTTTTCCGTATGTTTTTCTATGGAGTAAATCAATATTCAAGAATACTCTGAAGTGACGTGTAAAGACTTAGTGAGATCACAAAAATTATATTAAATTATATTATTTTATTATATATATACCATGTAAAAGGAGAAGATGTGATTGGGCAAAAAAAAAAAAAAACAAGAGGGTGTCTCCATTTCTCTTTAGTCACTTTTGAATTAAAACTTTTTAATGATTCAGATTTAATTCTCAATAAAATTATTATTTAAATTTTATATAAAATATGTAAATAAAATATTATAATTTTAAATGATTTAAATTAAATTTTAATAATTTAAATTTATCTATATATCTTTATATAAAATAAAATAATAATTTTATCAAAATTTTAATTTGAACCGTTAAAATTTTGATATAAGGGTGATAGGAAAGAAATGGAAGGAAAAAAAATGGAGATACCCTCGTCCCAAAAAATGATTGTTATAAACTCACTCTATTTAATTATTTATAAAAATTAATATGACAAATATATCACATAATAAATATTATACTACATCGTCCAGAGTATTAGCTTTGGTATAGGCTAACGTATTTTTTGTTATCTCGCCGAGATACTATATTTTTAATTATCATAATAAAATACTAGTCTTCGCGGAAGATTAAATTCAGAAAGGAAAATATATACATCTGTCAGTTCTTATAGTTTCTTTCAATTTCGAAGTAAGTTTCTGCAATTTTTTTTAATTATTTATAGTTTAATTCATTAAATTTTTTAATCCCTCAAAGCTAAAATCTCACAATCTTTCTTTTTTAAAAACCAAAATTAAGAATTTTTATATTTTTACTAAAAGATTATATAACTTTAAAATTAATGAATTTAGAGTTAATAACTGTACTTAATACTAACACTAAGTGTTCATACTATCTAAGTTATTAAAATTTAGATCAACAAGTTAGATAAACTTATCACTTATATAGAGTATAAATTCAAAACTATTGATTTAAATTTCAATAATTCAGATAATATAGGAAATTAGTGCCTCTAAATACAATTACCAAATTCAAATCCAAAATTAGTAACATGATTTTTTTATCAGTCAAGATTTATATAATTTGCTTGTCATCTAAATAATATATATACATCTAGAATTTTCATGAAAAATTAATAAAATATATACGATGTATTAAATCAAATTTTCTATAGGCTCTAAAAGTATTTTTGTTTTGGGAAATTTAATAACTCATTATTAATTTTAACTTCCAGGGATTAATAGATATAATTGATCAAGCTATAAGAACTTGATTAAAACAAAATAATCTATAAGAACTTAATTCAAAATTGGGAAAAAAAACTAGAAGGATCTAGTTTAGCTATCTTCAAATCTACCAATACTTGCTCGTCAAAACAAAAAAAAAAAGAAAAGAAAAGAAAAGAAAAAAAAATCTACCAATATTTAAAATAAAAAGGATTTAAGTTTGAACTCTGAATTTTAAGTTATATTAATTTAAATTCCAATATCTAGTAATTATATGGATAGAGCCGTTTCAAATAAAATTTTATAAATTAAATCAATAATTTAAAAAATTTTAGGCAAAAATTATAATTTTTTTACTTGTTTTTTAACATATAAGACTTGAATCTGAACTTTACTTAGGCTGAGTATAGAAAAAGGGATGTATTCTGAGGATAATAAAGATTAACCTTTATTACATATACATGGACTATAAATCAAACTTCCTAGTTGCTACCCACTTAATGATGCGTAATTTATTTCAAGATAATTGTATAACATATGCTTCAGACACAGTACTGAACTGATCACTGTCCATTTCAGTCCAATAGTCATTATTATTGTAAGCATTAATCCAAGTCACTGAAGATACCTCAATGCGATTGATGACGAATGACCCTTCTTTCATTACTTCTTCTTCAACTTCAAATGGGGATGGTGTGTACTGGGGAATGTTGAATGAATCCACTTCCTCTTCTTCTATGATTCCCTATTAGTTACTCACAAAAAAAAAAAAAAGTATGGAGATGGAGGGGTTAGCTATATATATATATATATATATATATAAGCTCATTCTGTCAGTCATATAATGTATGTGATTTTCTTAATGATGTTTGAAACCATCCCAAAATTGGGTTCTAAGTGCTCGAATTGATATGATAGAATTGAATTCAAGATGCTATTGAAACATTAGTAAGGGATTGGATGTATGATGATGCCTCAATCAAACAAGAAGCTTCAAAGTTCTACATCAGCTTGTTCAGGGAAGAAGGTATAAATTCTTCTATCTCTGATTGTATGATTTATTGTCCTAAGTTATGTAATGATCAGATAGACCGGCTTAATGTTCCTGCTTCAAGAAAGGAGATTGAACAGGCTATATTCCTGAAGTCCCCTGGCCTAGATGGGATCAATGCACTATTTTATCATTCCCAATGGAAGACGGTAGGCCCATCTGTCATTCAATATGTTACAAACATTTTAATGATCCTTGCATGGTTAAAGAGGTGAATAAAACCTTCATTGTTCTTCTCCCTAAGAAAGATCACCCTGAAACTATCAGAGACTTTTGCCTGCCCCATTAGTCTATGCAATGTTATTTATAAAACGGTTAATAAGATCATAGCCAACAAAATTAAGAATGTCCTTTCGAATGTATTTCTCCAAAACAATGTGGTTTTGTCCCAGGGCAGCTTAGTTTAGATAATATTATTATTGCTAAAGAGATCATTCATTTCATGCGTAGTATGATAAAAAAGAAAGGTTTTATGGCCATTAAAATTGCCCTTGAAAAGACTTATAAGATATTTAGTAATATTCAAGAAAGAAATCTCACCACCTAGAGGGGGTTTGGATTAGTGTGGACAAGTGAGAGGTGATAATACTTCATGTTTCTCAAAATACCAGGTGATAGAATAAAAAAATATAAATATCATGTATTTGATAATTAGAAAGTAGATTATGAATATATATGTATATATATATAAAATTTAAGATATATCAATCAAGTGGCTTAAGTTACTTTATTGAAAACCGTCTTCAAGTATAATTGATATAAATAGTCTTATATGATACTATGAGCTACTTTTTTTGACCTCTCTGTCACACATAAAAAGAGGACAAAAAACAAAGAAAAAACAGGCAAAAGAAGTGAAAGAAAAGGCAAGAGATTAAAAAAAAAAGATTATAGACTTGATGAGGCTTGTGACCTGTGTAAAATTCAAAAAGTATAATTAAGCCGTAAAGGAAATATTAGAAAAAAAAATCTCACATCTAGTAATTAATTAGTAAATTATAAATATATAAAGTTTAGAATGTGTCTTATAACTTAATGTCTTAAACTATGTTAATGAAATAGACTAGCCTAGAATATGCTTAATATAAAGAATTTGATAAGTAAACCTGAGATAGCCATTGAAGACTATAAGAGGAACGCACAAAATGGAGACTTCTTGTTGGGAACAACCTGCCATAAAAGGACCCAAGGACACCTGCTAAGAAGCAATAAGGACCAACCCTAGAAACCATTAATTCTTTATTGAGTTTCTCTTTGAAGCTATCAAGAGACCTGAAGATTCTGTTGAAGTCATTCACTGGAAGATCATTCAAGAAGACTTGGTATTCTGCAGATTTATGGTTTTGCTCTCTGCAAATCTTCTCAACTATTTTGATTACTTCAGAAACCATAAACAATGTGTCTGGACCACAAGAGCAACCCAAATCTGCAATCACTAAGCTTCTTGTTAATGGCAGCTTGCATCTGTGGTACATGTTGCTTATGGCTTCTTCTCGAATTGGCTTTGCCAATGTTAGCACCTTTTGCTTTTTCCCATCACCAAATAGAGTTAAAGGTATTATTATTTGTTTGAGTTTCGACGAAATAAAGAAAAAAGTAGCTAGGGATGAAAAAATAGGAGAGGCATAGATTTTTCATATTTAGATAATAAGAGAAAATAGAAGGAAAAGAAAAGCAGAGGAAAAGGAGAAGCATATGGCCTACATATGTACTTCTTCCTATCTTTATTATATGACATTTTCAACCATTTTACATATCTTAAGAAATTTTTTTCCCCTTGATATCATAAGAAAAAGATATAGTTCCATTCTTAACTTTAACTTTAAATATTGATATAACTATATTAAATAACTTCTCACTAATCAAGAAAGGGTTAAATTAAAAAGAATTATTTAAATATTACAAAGTATCCTATATTTTAGATTAAAAATTATTTTTAGAAGGCTTCATACAAATAGGATAAGAGGGAATACATGTTTTTCAAATTTTTCGTTTTTGAAAATCGGAGAGATTTTGAAAAGAACATATGCATTCTAAAAGTGTTTCATATAAGAGGAGGAATGGCTTGGAATCCACATGTGAAAATGTTTTTCACATGGATATCATTGTCATTGTGAAATTAGTCATTATTTTCTTCATGCTTTTCTCACATTCATTTTCAACATATGGTAAGAAAACATTTTTGAAAACAGAAGACAGCATAGATTTTTCATATATTTGGGTAATTTGAATATTTAAAGAAAGAAAAGTAGAGGAGAAAGAGAAGAAAAGGGCCTATTCATATTTCTTTCCAAAGTTTTCTTCTTAAACGTGAAGAGATTTTGGATAGAAAATATACTTTCTAATTTCTAAACCCCAAGGATTGAGTGGCTTGTGGTCTGCATATGAAAATATTTTTCATATAAATATTATTGTCATTGTCATTGTGAAATTAGCTAGTCATTACTATCCTCTTCATGTTTTCTCGTATTCATTTCAACATAAATTGAGAAAACATTTTTTGTTCATTCATTTTCATCTTCTATCCATCTCACCATTCATTTTTCTTTCCATTTAAACAAAACATAGAGTAGATGATTCAAATATGGTAGATTGAAAAAAATTATCTCTATTTAAACCTAACAATGTTTTGAATATAGATTAATCATCAGTAGTATCAAATATTGGGTAAATGTTTCAAGTTAAAAAATTAAATACAATTTAAACTAACAAAAGTTGGTTCAATTGATAAAGATTAATTTAATTTATAACCCGTAAGATCATGGCATCAAATTCTACTATTAATATAAAAACTTTATTAGTAAATAATTTGTAAGTATCTTTCTAAGTATTTAAAGTCTAAATGCATGCTTTAACCTTGATGAATTTCTGGAACTCAATTCACCTAAATTTTTTTATATTAAAAAAAGCACTTAATTAAAAGTGGTACTTATGCAAACTCGATTGATACCTGAACTAACGAATTGTTTGCATACCTTGTTTCTCCCACGCCCCATTCATGTGAAGCACTTGACTTACCTCCATTTTTGGTATCTCTTTCTTTCTCTCTCCTTGTCTCTCTATGATTTCTTATTGATGTATATCTCATCACTTGTGTATGTTTTGTGTGTTTCGTGGAATATATTTATAGATGCTGCAGCCTTTTTAGGCGGATGAGCATAAACATAATATCTTATCTCGTGGCCTTCTTTTTTATTTGTTTATAATTAAAAAAAATAAAATATATTATATATGTGTGATGAACAACACAAAGCATTTCAGGTAGATGTTTATATCTCGATCGTGTGTCCTCTTCAATTTCTTGAAGGCTGCAATTATTGTGATTTGAAGGTCATAATTATTAATAATGTACGATCTTATACATAAAGTTCATATTCTCACGACCTAGAACGTAATTTATAATTCATTATCATATAATTATTTTTATGATATTTCTATTATTTTATATTTTTCAATTTCTCAATTGCTTTATGTGTTTTATTTTACAACAATCTATGTACTCCCTCGATCAAAAATTATAAGACACTTTTAAAGAAGAGCTAGCGTCTTAAAATATAAGATACTTTAATAAAAATAAGATTTCATTAATGATACTTTTTTAAAATTATTCTTTTCATATATTCTCTCTCTTTAATATTCTTTTATCAATAAAGTATTAAATAAAGAGTATTTTTAAAAATTTATAATTTTATCTTAAAAAATAAGGTTGTAAAGTATATTTAATGAGTTTTATTGATATGTGAGATTTTATTACGTGTCTTATAATTTGGGATGGAGGGAGTATTATCTTTTGATATCTCCATAACTGATAATTATGAGACTAATCTTTTAAAACATTTGAATGTCATTTAAATAGTTGTTTTCCCCGAAACAATGCTTTTTATAAATACTTTCAGAAATCAAACTCTGAAATTTGTCCACAATTATTGCATGTCTCTGTATAGTTGCTGGAAAAATGCCAAAGTGGGAAAGTATGATATGTGATGGTGAATGTGACACGCATGCAATTAATTAGGTCACTCAACCAAATTCAGAAATTATTTATTTCTAATTAGAATCTGGAATTTACGACTCACATAACAAACTTATTAATTGATCTACGATTATTTACCATTAAAATAACGCAAATTTACAAGTTGAAAGACATTTACCACTAATATGACACAAATTTACAAGTGGCAATATGTGCATCTACTATTTTTTCCTATAATTAACTCACCCCAATATTTTCAACTAGACGAGGTTTAGTGGCTGAATTAAAGTTAAATTAATTAAAATTAAAATAATATATTTTTAGTTTTATACTCTCCCTTCAGTTTATATGTAATATTTTTTATAAGTCACTTCACATAAAAAAATGAACTATTTTTTTTTAAATTACTACAAGTCACTTCACATATTAAAAATGATTATCTTTCTTTTTCATAAGATGATTAAAAAATAACTTATACATAAGACTAGATGGAGTACTAATTGTTACAAATAAAAAGAGTATGAATTAAAATATAAAAACATATCAATTTTAAATGAAAAAAGTAGGCATCTGATTTATATCATTCATGTCTTGTCCAATATAAAATGTTATTATGAAAAATATAATTATAATATATGACACACATTTACAAAATTTTAAAATGCAATAAAAATATAACATGTTTAGATTGTAAATAGCGATGCATTTCGAGTTCGATTTCTTCTTCAATCAATGCCTACTATCCCATGCCTTGGGTCTTCAGAGGTGATAATGAGAGATGGACTTGAATTTCATGGAATTAAGATCCATAAATTTTTGTGAATTTTTTTTATTTTAGTATTTTCTCTCACTTTAATAATCCTTGCCTATTTTTTTGGGTAAAAACTCATTCTTGTCATTTTATAAGTTATTTTTAACATGTTTTACTGAAATTAAAAAAATTTTAAATTCCATTAACCTTATATTTTAAAATTTAATAAATTATCACCCCTCTACCTCTTAATACAAAGTAACAGAATTATTTTTAATAATTTTTTAATATTTAATAAGGACAAAAAGATAAAGATAAATATAAAAATAATAGAGTATCTTATAAATATAATTAAAATTAATCTTTTTTTTTCCCTCTAAATGGAATAAGAGGAATATTTTTATAAAATATAAAATCTTCTCCAACTTAAAATTAAAGATTCATTTCCTGATGGGAAACTTTGTGGTTTGAGCAGCTCTGTGGGGAAATAGGTCAAAATTGTGAACGTCGTTTCTTTTTTGTTTTTTTTATAAAATCAAATTAAAGAGTCAAATGTGAAGTTTGTGTATTATTATATAACTAAAATAGGAAAAGGAAAGCTGTGTCTTTTATTTGGCTTTCGGTTAACAATTTAAAATAGGAAAAGGAAACCTGTATGAATGTGCTGAAAATTGAATCCGTTATTGAACTAGTTAAAATATTAATTCAATGATTTATGATCAAAATCATAATCAAATATAATCCAACTCCCATTTGTTCTAACTGCTTATTTAATATTCCATTAGCTTTCCATTTTGGCTTTGGGAAAAACCAATAATCCCATCTCCTCCTTTCCTCAAGCTTCCTTCACAACTTCTCTTCTACTTTTCAAAGGCTTTCGTATGTTTGTATTTGTTTCTCCATGAGTTGTGTTTAGTGGTTGTTAAGTAGAAAGTAATGAAACAAGACAAAGTCAACTAATTAAGTTGAAGTGGTTTTCAAGTTTAATTTGAGAATTAATATGAGTACTTAAGAGTACAAACTCGGATGGTTGGATCAGTTGAACTGTCATTCAAAGAAGAAAATGGTTTAATTCAACCATTTGGCCCATTCTGGCAATTGATCTGAGTTGGCTCGCTTTGATTTGGAGCAAAAACTCAAAACTCAAAGTGGTTGAACCATTTTAACTTGTTGTTTTTAATATATATGTATATGTATATGTATGTATATATGTATGTATGTAAATATTATTTTTTGACTGAAAAGTGCAATCATAAAATTAAGGGTTTACAAAATAACATGACCCATAAGAGGCTTTCTCTCATCAACCACCGTCTCTTGTATTAGAGGTGGAGGTTGATCAAATATACAAAAATTGTTATCCAAATTGTGAGACATTTTACCTAATGTATCAGCAAAAGAGTTAAGATTCTTAGAGAGGTGATGGATAGTTAAATTCCACTCTTTATGATACAAAAACCTAACATCATCAATAATATCCTTGAATAGATGAGTATCCACACAGCCCTCTTGGATTAGTTTAATCACTTCAACACAATCATGATAAATATCAACTTCCTTGAGACCATAAGTCTAGCACATTTGAAGTCCCTGTATGATGGCAAGAGTTTCTATAATTGCAGGGGGAACATTAATAAGTTTGCAACTAAAAGCCTTGACCTAATTACCATTAGTATCCCAAATAATACCACCACAGCCACTATTACCATTTGTTTTAATAGATCCATCCACTTCAAGTCTGAAAGCATTCCTTCTAAATTGGTTATTAGCCCCAGGTTGCATGCAATCATAGGTAAGGAAAGGTACTAGTCTAGCCAAATCACTATTTGAACATGCTCTAAAGAAAGTATTGAGTGCTGAATGTAATTGAGTATCATTGACATCTTCAAAAACCTTCTTGCACCTGTCAACCCAAATATCCCAGCAAAGATAGCCAAAGAGGGTACTCCAGCTTACCTTACTCGTGAAGTTCTTGCTAGCTTCTTGAGAAAGGTTTCAATTTACCCACTTCACTCTAGTCAAGTTACTAAAATTGTTCCAGTAATCTTCCCTGATTACAGCTTTCCATCTAGTTTTAGCATGTGGGCAATCTTGAATCAAGTGCATGAAGTCCTCTAACACTACACATCCAAACAGGCAAATTTGTTCACTTGTTAGTCCCCTCTTCTATCTCAATTCAACTATATGTGCACATCCATGAGAAAAGAGCCACATAAAAGATTTGATTTTCGTTGGCACAGAACACCTCCAAATTTGCTTTCAAATGTTGTCCAAGTTCCTTTTGGTAGCTGCAGACAAAAAATAATATGCATATTTCATAATAAAATAGCCATCAATAGATGGTTTTCAAAGGTATTTATCCTCTCCTCTATCCTCACTAGGTGGGTGAGCACATGTCAAATAGGCCATTGAGTTTAGTTGGAGACAAGCATTCAGCTTCTGCAAATCCTATTACCCATATTATCAACATAGTCCACCACTTTTTCATTTCTATTAACAAGCTCCTCCCTGCCAACTATAAGATCTATTAGAGGCATATTAAGCATAGACCAATTCTCAAACTAGAAAGATATGTTCCTTCCATTTCTAATTTTCTTCCCTAGTCCTTCTTTAAATCTGTCTTATACTTCGCAAATCCCTCTCCAAGTGTACGACGAGTTCCTCCTTTTAACAACATTAGGCACACAGTCATTATCGCATTTATATTTCAGTTTTAGAACCTGAACCCATAAAGCATCCTTACTATTACAAAGATTCCAACAGAGCTTCATTATAAAAGCCTCATTCTATCTCCTTAAGTCTTTAACACCTAGCCCACCTTCTATCTTGTCCCTAATAATGTTATCCCAGGATATAAGGTGCAGCTTCCTATTACTATCATCATCCCCCACAGGAAACTTCTACTCTTCTTATTTAGTTCATTTATTAGCTGCTTTGGAAGCATCATTATTTGCATATGGTATGTAGGTAGAGTGGATAGTATAGCTTTAATCAGAGTAGTTCTCCCTACTATGTTTAAAAATTATCCCTTCCAGCTTGACAATCTCTTATGTTATCAAGAATTAGTGCAAAAAGGAGATAGGACGCCCTTTTGTGAATAAGAGGAATGCCTAAATACTTATCTAACTCTCTAGTAAGATCCACACTTAATTTCCAGCTTAGCTGAAAATCTCTAAAAAAGTGAATTAAATTTGAGAAGCAGACTTTTGTTTTAGCTTTGTTCATCTTTTGGTCAGAAACATCACAAAACTTAGAAACACAATCAAGGATAGTGTCTACTTGACAAGAGGAAGTTTCACTAAAAAGAATTAAATCATCTGCAAAGAACAAGTGAGAAATTTTTATACCTCCTGG